AAGCTGGGGAGGGGCTTGTTAGGATGTCGGGCAGTGACAGGACTAGAGGGAATGGACTGAAGCTGGAGATGGGTCGGTTCAGATGGGACGTGAGGAAGAAGTTCTTCCCCATGAGGGTGGGGAGACCCTGGCACAGGTTGCCCAGAGAGGGGGTGGCAGCCCCATCCCTGGGAGTTTTTCAGGCCAGGCTGGATGGGGCTCTGGGCAGCCTGATCTCGTGGGGGATGTCTCTGCCCGTGGCAGAGGGTTGGAACGAGATGATCTTTAAGGTCTCTTCCAACCCTGACAGTTCTGATTCTATGATTCTCGTACGCAGCTGGCATTAAACTCACTGCAGCCCTGAGCAAAGGCATAAACACAGAGCTCAGTGCCTCACACAGCAAGAGCTGGGTATTGTAGGTAGCTGTGCAGCATTTCTTGCTATATTCATTTTTGGGCAAGCACATAACAGTCTCTCCCACATGCGTTCGCACACTGAAACACACAGCATTTTCCCTGCTAGCACTCTCTGCTCTCTCTGAAAGACATATTCTCACACATGGGTTATGTCATGTGCACTGAGAGGGGTGAGAAAGGGCTCAAGTTTTTTTAATAGCTAGAAAAGCTTTGGTCTTGAGCCTCTGTCCTATGTACCCCATGTATCCAGCATCACCTGCTTTTGGTGTTATACCGGCATCACCAGCCTCAGGGTTACACAGCTCCTGTCCCAGCCCTCTGAGGAAAGCCATGTCTGAATGTGCAGCTGCAGTGGGCATCACATCTGAGGAAGCCTTGCTCAGACTGTTCTTTCTCCTAGCAGCTTCTGGCCTCTGGCTCACATGGCAGGGTGAAAAAGCAGGTGGGTAAGGTCATAAACCAGGTGGAGGCTCAGTCCTTTTTCCAAAGTCAGCATATCCCCAGTTCATGTTGGTTTGTAAATTCCTTTCAGCTCAGCAACTCTGCCCATCACCTTCAGATGCCTGGAAGAAAACAACGGTGTGGACAGGCGCATCACGAGGTTTGTTCTGCCCGTGGGAGCTACAATTAACATGGATGGCACCGCTCTGTACGAGGCCCTTGCAGCCATCTTCATTGCACAAGTCAACAACTACGAACTTGACTTCGGGCAGATCATCACCATAAGGTGAATTTTGAAAAAGTTTTGGGACTACAGGAAGGGCTTCAGTTTTGTTGGCTTAGCTGAGGTGTGGTCACATCTCTCTCTCGCTCAGAAGATACAATAAGGGGGAAAAAAGAATGGAAAAGAAGAGTGTACTACACCTCCAGGTGCAGAAGCACATATGATTTGGGCACCACATCCTTGAGCCCTTATTGCATTTCCACCTGGGCCATCCCTTAGTTAGAGCTGCAGTGTGCCCTCTGCTGTGGACGGGTGCTGGCAGCAGGGAGCCCGGCCGCTGTGTCGGTGTCTCATGTGTCACCAGCCTGCTCGGTGAGCGGGGCAGGAAGGCTGCCAACCTGTTTTGTAGATGATGAATTTGAGCAACTTCCTGACATTTCTGCAAACATCACTAGCTCTCTTCTTCTCGTTGCTGAAAGCTGTGCTTTCCTGTTCTTCCAGCATCACTGCCACAGCAGCCAGCATCGGGGCCGCAGGGATTCCCCAGGCAGGACTGGTGACAATGGTTATAGTGCTGACATCAGTGGGGCTGCCTACTGAAGACATCACGCTCATCATCGCTGTGGACTGGTTTCTGTAAGTTCTCTGCTCGGGAGCAGGCACTGCTGTGTGCTCCCTGACTGCTTGCAGGGTTTGTCCTTCCCATGTCTCTCCTACTCAAACCAGTCTCAGTAACTGGTATCATTAAGCTTTAAACAGACCTGTATCCATGAGACCTTTGCACAGCAGCCCTCTCTTCC